CTTCACGTCTTCAACTTTAGGGTAGTTTGCAACAATATCGTCTTAAAAGTCCTTATATTCTCCATGATGGCACTCGCATAAGTAATTCGAGGCTTTCAGTATGTCACTTTGAATTACTTACAACTCAATAGGCTGGATGTTTGGATAACTTTCGTCTTGTTTCTTGTTGTTTCCTCTAACTCCTTCGGACTTTCTTAAATGAGTTTATAAATTGACTTTCAGTAATAGCGTCTTCAAACATTGAAATTTAGTGTAGTTCAAAATGTACCTACACACTCGTAGTCTGCGTCTCTGCGTAGAATGCGTAGAATATTCGTTAAGTTCAACTGTGTGCTTACCATGAGTTTACGTTAGGTGAGCTCGCTAGCGAATACGTCAAAAAATTCTATGAAGCTTTTATTTCTTGAAAGTAGCCGCTAGGGGCGCTGCACAATATGTCATACATTTAAATGTCATTTTTTTACGCAGTCGCTAGCGAGCACACCTAACGTAAACTCATGGTAAGCACACTGTACGTACATAACATGAAATACAGCAAATTGGGATGATGACTGGGTAATGAAATCTAAATTCTATTTAGTCCGTCAGACAGATAATAAATAATTACAGTATTATATTGAGTTGAAATGTCGCGTGACGTCACTTCTAAGTAAAAAATCTACATTGGCGTGACGTAACGCACCATTTCAACTCGATATAGCACTGTTATTATTTAATTAAGAAAGATAATAAAAAATACAAGTGTCTATTTATCTGTCTGACGGACAAAAATTGAAATTTTGTCATCTAGCTTAATATCTTCATTTAGATTATAATAAATATGACACAATTTCTAGAAAGGTTAATTTACAGCAGTTTCCGAGTACTTCTTAGTTAAGACAAAATTGCTATGCGCTAGCACGACGATCAAAGGGATGCGACGAATTCAAGACATAATACAGCATACTAGGAAACTGTATTTGCCGTCTGAAACCAATTCAGCACAGATTTATACGCAATCTGCGATGCATTCATAGTAAACTTTGCCATACCTTTCAAATATTTGTGAGTGCATTTTCTATCTTGTATTCTTATTACATTAAGTACGAAACAACAGTGAATGTAAAAGCAAATCTCTGAAAAATATTTGAACTGAACCTGCCTAAAACAAACTGGCCTGAAACTTGAACAACACTTGCGTTAATAACTCAGAAGTAATTAAAACCATATTGGGCCAAAAGAGTTAGTTACCCGAACATGTTTGGACTATAATCGTTTAAAACTCACAGGACACGCCAGGTGCGTTAAATGTATGGACGCCTGTTAAGAGGGTTACCAAACTTTAGTACTCCCAACGTTAAGAACTTGTTACCTGTTCTAGTACAAAGTTAGTCTCGCCTCTGTCCATTTTCATATATCTTAAAAAACAAAAATACAGAAATACGCCTCTTTAGGAAAAGAAATGGATAGTTCTTTGTATAACTTAGCTTTAGTTGAACTAAAAGTGGTAAATTGCGATTCCATTCAATCGAGCGATAGTAGCGATAGACAGAGTGTTCACGATTGAAATCCTTTGCTTCCGGCACTTGTGTCAGCAGTTTTTCACGGTTTTATAGCCCCGGATCTGCAATCTACACAAGGTAGATTGCATTTACTGACGCGAGAAATAGTACCGTGACGTAACACTGTCACGATTAGATTTACACCATCGACGTATTAACGATATTGAAACCACACAGAGTTTAAAATAACACATCCTGTCCTACTTCTAATATTTATGTTATTAATATGGTGTCATTTTATTAAACTCTGCCGGTCTAATAAATTCCATGATAAAGTGCTGCGTGCTCTTGGATATTGGCTGAAACTGAGCTCAAATGTAACATAACGTTACTTACTATGTTGTAAATAAGTAAATGGGTATATGAGCCGACACTAGCCTATGTTTTAACATGGACATATAAATGGTATGGTGAAGTCAGAAAATTGATATCTTAATTTTAATTATTTTAATTTTCATATAAATCGGATTTTATAAAATTTATTTTGTATGAAAATTAAAAAATTTAAAATGATGATATCAAATTTCTGACTTCACCATACCATTTATATGCTCATGTTAACATAGGCTAGTGTCGGCTCATATACCCATTTACCAAACACCCTGTATAAAAAAAAAACAACTGTTGATATTGGTTTTTAATTAAACCTTTAAGGAAGTCCAATATTACGGTTTCTTTCATCCTAAAAGGATTTATTATGGGCCCGAGATTGAGATTTAACATATCCGTAAACAGATTTCGCCGAATTGTTTACGTTGCGATTTTATTCAGCCGCGAGCCCTTGTGACAGCGCCAAAACATTATTGGAATACTCACAGATGTTTGCCTTAAATGAAATGTCGCAGCAAAATCGTAGAGCAGACTTATTTTATTCCACAATTTCAGCGAAAATCTGCGGTAGTACAGTGAGAATAGGGGAAATGTTTACGAAAAAACTGCGTAGAGATTTTCCTTAACGACCGTAGAAAAAATACAAGAAATATCACTTACAATTTCTGCTTAATATTTCCTGTAAATAAGTTTAATCAGTATTGACAGAAGCATCGTGGAGTGCAAAAAATTATATGTATAGGTACTTCTCGTCTACTTGAAGACCAGTAAGTCGTAAAATACTCGTGCAATGAAATGAGTTGGTTCAATGTTCCAAGAAACTACACATTCGTGATAAATAACTCCCCCGCGCTATCTTGTCCGACCAACTTTTTTAATAAAGGGTCATGCAACATACCTAAGCTTTCAGAAACTTAAACTATGAAACAAAGTTTTGCGTTAAGATTTTTTGGATTTTGTGGGAATTGATTACCACACATGGAACAACGAAGCAAATTAATTTGAATGAAAAGTAATAATTATGTAACAATTTTTGTTTCTGTTAATCACAAAACTTATCGGAAATTCCATATAATTTGTCCCATCTCCTAACAAAAAACCTGTTTGTAAGGAAGTCATTAATTTTTATGGGATAGGTGTACATTTCATTTTGGGTTGTAGAGTAATTAATTTGGTTACTATATTACCATGCAACCAGTCATAAAGTGACTTTACCTGTGAAAATGTTCATTATACTTAATTTTTCACGCGAAAAAGACGTTGCTAACGAATAAAGTATGACCCTCATCATCATTTCACGGAGCTGTTTAAAGGTAAATTACCCAAATAACTCATTTAATGCCGCAGATAATTCACTAAGCACCTTCGGAAATCCGGTGAAAAAATAATTCTAAAATAAAATTCAGTTTGGAAATATCTTGAAAGTGAAGATGCGTGGACTTTTTTTAATACACTTGATATTTGATGATTCGATCCACGTAGCATGTTTGTCATTAATTAAGTAGAACAAGTCGTGTCTTTGGTAATTGGAACCTAATACATAGGTTTTTGACAAGCCAATTACAATCAAGTTCTCCTTCGTAATTTGAGGAACTTGTTTGTACAAAATTTGGAGTACCTATGTGACTTGTTACTATGTTGTAACCTAAGGAAAAATGTTACATAGAGGTACATACGATGTACCTATTAGGAAAAGATATCAGTTTGTGAAAACATTTTAGGGTCTCTCATTTATTATGTAGGTAGGTACATCACATTTAGAAAAAGACTACAATGAAAAAAAATACAAATATTTAATTTCATAATAATTAATGACTGGAAGACGTAGCGTGGAAAGGCCTACTACTAGGTAGACCGACGATCTGGTAAAGGTCGCGGGAAGAGCCTGGATGCGGGCAGCGCAGGACCGTGCATTGTGGAAAACCTTGAGGAGGCCTTTGTCCAGCTGTGGATGTCATTTGGCTGAAACGAACGAACGAATAATGAATACCTAATGCAAACTATATTTAAACTGACAATGTTACATCCCAAAGCACTAAAGGGGGAACTAGATTAAAAGTGGGAAGAGCAAACTTTAAAATTAGGTTAAGCGTTCCACTAAACTATGTTAGAGATTTGGCAGTGGTTTGTCACACTGCCATACTACAGTCCATAATAATACGCATACTGTTATTATGTGCAGTAAAATTAGGAATTCCGGGAGACTGATATTTAAAAACATAACCCTCCTTCTAGCGCAGTCGGATAAAAAGATGTAAATATCAGTCTCCCGGAATTCCTAATTGGATAGATTTAATTAGATTCTTAAAAAAATGTCAATATTATTCTTGACAATAACGTCTTGTCTAATTACTTAGAAGAAAATTAAATTACCAATTTTTAAGATCTCATAAATCTGTAAGTCATTTTAGGCATATCCATAGAAGCCCAAAATAGTACTGTATCTAAGTAGATTAACGTATGTAAGTACTAAAATACCTAAGGGCTAAAAGGTCGGGCTTCATACGGGTCCTATTAGGAGAGGCCTAACCGCAAAAGTTACTTATCTTGTCTGTGTTATCCACGTTCCCACACTGGGTTTAATCAGATAAGCTCTGATTAACTTTTGATGGACATTGTGATCAATGTTATTGTATTACTAAGTAGTAGGTCTGTATGTTTGATAATTGAAAATTTAGCTTAGGTCTTACAATGAATTTATTAGAAGTCCATCTCTGTTTAGGATTTATTATTTTATGTACCTAGAATACCTAGAGTACAATAAAAAATATAATTTTTTCAAATGGCAAATCATCGTTTTCAGTAAAAAAAAATTCCAATTCTTGATATAAAAATAACTTGCATCAGCGTCAAATACTTCGTGACACCCAAAAAGTTCGCAACACGTCTTTGTTATTAATTTAATTAAGGCTGTGTTATCAACTTTTTGGTCACTTTGGTTGTCACGAACTATTTGACGCTGACTGTACCTATTTTAGACTGGGTTAGACGGGTTGCACCATCTTACTTTAACTTTGACATACGTCAAAAATATGTCAAACTCCATACAAAAAACACCGGTTATCGGTTAAAGTTACGGTCAAAGAAGAACTAGTGCAACTCAGCCTTAAATTGTTATTTTTGCCGTAGGTGGCGGAGGAGCACAGCTAGGCGAAGCAGACAACTGTGACCCTGGCGAGCTGAAGGTGTGCGTGGACCTGATACCAAGAACACCTATTGGCCTACCAAAGACGAGGGACGAGCTCGACCTACATTGCTCGTAAGTAATTCACTGTTGAGGACAACGTTTATTGAGAGTAATTAATATTTCTCAGCGATTAGAGTCGCTTCTCAAACTAAATTTTAATTAAACATCTTGAGTTTATTTAAAACGTTTGAGAGAGCAAAAAAAGGACAAGTCTTATTTTAGAGGTAAGCTGAAATATTAAATATTAAACTGAAAATATCTAATGAGTAGGTACCTACGGTTTTCGTAACAATCTAAATCTGTTTAAATGTTTCTAATATTCTGAACATTATTATGATAGATTACAAGATTTATTTAAAATGTTGTTTCAAGTTAATACCTACCAAAGTAACCTTTTATTGAAATTATCCTCACTTCTTAGTATAGTATATTAAGTCGGCCGTTTGGTGTAGTGGTTCAGAACGGACTACTATGCCGAGAGGTCCCGGGTTCGATTCCCGGCCGGGCAGAAATTGAAATGATGAATTTGAATTTCTGTGACGGGTCTGGGTGTGACTATGTATAATATTTATGTATTTACAAAAAAAAAGTATATAAGTAGTATATCCGTTAAGCTAGCACCCATAACACAAGCATTAAGTTGCTTACTTTGGGGCTAGCTGGCGCTGTGTGAAATTAATGCCCAAAGAATGTCCAAAGATTAAAATCTTTAAATCTGAGCTTACATTTTCAGATCGTTGATTTCTAGCGAAAACGTTCTGGTGAAAAGTGTTTAGTTGTGCCATTTTTCTAACAGGATAAGTAATAAATTGTGAAAGCATAAATTACAGAATATTGAATTGGCTTACTCAACATTTTGATTTAATTAAAAACTGCTAGTTTCAAATAGAATTCTGTTTCACAAATTATAAACTTAGCGATTTTAAACGTCAAGGGGAAGGAAATATCTACTTTGGCCAGTATACAGTTAACGTCAACATTGTGTGACGACATAAATGCGATAAAGTATGGCGAATATACGGTTCACACAGGAAATGGCGTGTCCAGCCACCGAACTGACAGCCCTCGGGACTGTTCCCCTTTGGGGACAGTTGCAACGACAATATATTCCCTAAAACAAACAATAGCTTTTGTGTTGTTGCGAATAATTCACGTTTTGTATTTGAGTAAAGCCTTTTTACCCAGAGCGAGCCGTTAAATATGTAAAGTAGCGACATGGCTTTGCTTTTTTTTGGTAGCTTTAACCGAAGGTAAAATTAACTGAAATGTTTTTTGGTGTCACCCATTTAACGTGAGCCGCATTGTTAAATAAAGATAGAGTAACTATTTATTAATGGGAGCCAACTATATCTGTCGAGAATCGAAAAAGTAGAAATAAATGGTTTCTCGAATGGAAACCACGTTTCGGTAAATGTATTGTACGACGAAGAATTAGACCGAACGACCTGTGAAAATAGATTAGTAGTAACTGAAGGAAAAATTCAGGAGACCGTGCTTTGTGGCATTCTATGTGGGATGCTTCTAGCAGTGGACGGTCGTTAGATAATAAATGATCACTGATGATGTTCATCAATTTAGAACATCCAAACACGTGATTTTATTATTAGTGTTTTTTTTTTAGAATTGATGAGTGTGGCATTTAGAAATTGTAAGTACCTAGTAGTTATTATTTTACAAACAACGTTACATATGCTTTAAAAAATGTGCCTATCAAATCTATTCGATATAAGAAAATAAACTCCCATAGGCACAACCACAAAAACGTGGAAAACAATGGCATGGAATTTGTAAGCACTAATATTTATGGGTTACTCCTGGTAGATCAGTTTCCCCTCGACATGTGCTCTGGAGACTTGGAGATAATGCATTGCTTTTCATGCTACTGGAACGTACGATGGAAAAGCTTTTATGGAATATTTTATGGACTGGAAGTGTGTGATGTTCCGCAAACAAACCTTTAGAACGAAATATTAGGGTATGGGTAAAGACCTTACAAAGGAGGTAGTCACCGTAGGTCAAATTCCACATAAGATAGTTGAATGGCATTAGTCAAGACTTTTTGTATTTATTTCGCAAGTCTCTCTAAAAGTAAAGCGAAGTCAAACGTTATAAAATGCAGCAAAGCATGCAAGTGCAGTCAATAAGTTTAAAAATAAACTTATTATGAGCTTTGCATTTACCCAATGCAACGTATTCAATTATACAGCTCGTTGACTTTAAAAAGAAATGTGAAATTCGTTAATATTGTGCACAACCTTTCTCATGGCTGACATTTTCCTCAGAAGCTCATTTTTCACCACGGAATGCTATCGCCATACCTGAGACTGTGTATAATCTGGGAAATAAGGCAAATAGGTAGGTACATATTATTATCTATCGTATGCAAGCAAAGGACAATGTTCGTTCTCCATACATTGTTCGCCTAAGAACCAACAATTTTGACATATTACTACCCGAAAGCGAAATAATACGATTCTGTGTGTAAGAACAATGATTCCTGATGGACACTTGCCATAAAATTAATGATTAAGAATATTAAATCACAGCGATTTTATAATATGTCGTTTATGACAACATGGCGTCTAATGTATTAGACCATGCCACGCACCAAAACGTCCGGAAGTTGTAATAGTATTATAGAATAAACGTTAAAAGACTTATTTATTTAATTTTTCAATGCTTAAGTGTCCATTAGAACGAAAGGGTGCTTAATGTATTAAAAAAAATAGAAAATAATTATGATGGGTTAATGTTTTTTGGCGGTTTTTTAGGCGGTTTCTGACAATGTCCTTTCTATATTAGGCGTGTCGGTTGAGCTTAATCTTTTTATTGCGTAAATAATTTCCAGAACTCTTTTTGTAGCGCAAATATAATATAACAGTACCTAATAAGAGACTATGTTTATTTTAACATAACGTATGGGCGTGTAATTAAGGTAAACGGCTACTAGTTCGTGATAGTACGTAAGTTCGTAAGTTTTTTTTCTAGCTCAAATAATAAGCAAATGGAATATTATTTATAAAAATTCTTCATTACTACAAAAACTCTATTATTTAAGCTATCTATCTGAAAATGTCTGTAAAAAACTGAGCCAATTCTCATTTGCACTTTATAGGCTCCAATTAATAGTTAATGAAAGCGCTGTACTAACAGCCTACCACAGCTATGTTGCCTCAATACTTAGATATGGATTAATTTTTTGGGGTAATTCATCTAACAGGGAAGTTGTATTTAGAGCACAAAAACGCTGCATTAGATCTATGTATAGTCTAAAGTCAGATGTCTCATGTAAGCCTTATTTCATAAATAAAAAAATCTTGAACTTACCTTGTCTATACATTCTGGAGTGTTGTATATTTATAAAAAATAATATTGATAAATTTGAGTTCAGGACCCGTGAACGTCACAAAAACAAACTGTGTGCCATCGAAGCTAAAACTACTTTATTTAATAAGAGTTTCTTTGGAAATGCTCCTCGTATCTATAATAAAGTACCGGAATCCATACGAGACATAAATGACTTTAACATATTTAAATTAAAGCTTAAGGAATATTTAATTGACAAATGCTATTATTCGATAACTGAGTTTTTGACAGAAAAAATATGCTAATGAATTTTATTTGAATCAATATAAATATAATATTATGTAATCAATCGACATTATTTTATGATCAATTGTAATTTGCATGCTAACTGACATTAGCCAAATAGGAATGCACTTTTAATAAACTTCCAACACCACTTATGTATTTACCCTATTTTTTGAGCAAATAAATAATTTGAATTTGAATTTGAATTTGAATTTAAATTCGGTATATGTTTCGTTCACTAGAATTTATACGACACGAGTTTGAAGTTCACATATATGACCAATTTTAAGATAAATTAGCATAAGTAGTACCAGCATAATTTTGGTTTTATTTCGATTTGTTTTTTTGTATTGTATATGGGATAGATAATAGGTAATTGACACATTTTGACAATAATCCATGAATTTTACTTGGGGAATTTGGAATAATCAGTATCACGAAACAAGGAACCGTATTATTGTTACTTTTTTCCAAGTTCGTGATATATAAATGTATGGTGTTTGGTACTTTTATGACACACACCATCAAAGAAATCGATATATTTTTTAGTTTTTAATACTTACCTACCTAAGAAATGAATTAGTTAATAACTTTTTTTTTATTATGAGTCATTGGCGTATCTGGCGTTATTTTCAGGGGGGGGGCTACCCTCACTTGAAACAGCTCCAGGGGTGGGATTATGGGGATAAGGGAGGGGGGGGGGGTTTTTAAATTTATTAAACCCTTAATCATTATTAAAATATCCTAACTGTATGCATAAAACCTTATCCCGAAATAGGGGACATGAGTTCACGAACTTAGAAACAGAGCAAAATGTTGTCACGAAACAGGATCCAAACAAGAGGTCCGCAGAACAATTAATATAAAAAAAAGTTCAAACTATATAACTATAAATTATATATTAACTTACTGTCAAAAGACCAAAGTTTAGCATACAAAAGCTTTCACACTGATATCATGCTTGGTTATTTTTAAATAAAATGTTAAAGTCGTAAGAGCCTTAATATACCGAAGTAGGGGGCACTTACCTTAGGGACTTTATGTGCACAGTAGTATTATTGTGCCACATAAATACGTGTTTCATTTCTTTGTCTACCTCTAAAACATGTCTGTTTTGTGACGTATTAACCCAATGTACCACTTTTCTCTTTCATTTTTTGTTTCTATCCGCTTTGTACTTCGTAAATATTACAAGGAATCCTTTATAAGAGCCGTTAGAATAAGTAAAAACATCCAGTTTTTCATCACACAATACGAATTGTATCTTCCACGAGCACCCACAAAGTTATATTTACCTTTATCGTTAACTTTCTTTCTTGCAAAGGTAACGTTCAATACATCAAAGTGGATAAACATTATTGACGGGGAAAATCGTGCGAATAAACATTGACATTGTATGTATGCCGGAAATCTAAATTAATAAGAAGTAGAAGAGGTTTACCTAATTAGTGATAACCTTTTGTTATACTGAACTGTAAATA